CCCCCCAGCCCCGGCGCAGGCCGCGCCGCCTCCGCCGCTCACCAGGGCAGCTCGTAATGGCCGCCGCCGGCGGGAGCGGCCCCCGGGGGGTCGGCGGATCCCCGCTTCTCGCCTGCCGCGGGCCCGGCCTTCTCGTCCCCCACGGCCTCCACCTCCATTTCCATCCCGGCGGCGGCTGGCCTGGCCCGGCCCCGGTCTCTCCGCCGCCTCCGTGAGGGGAGGGCCGCGCTCTCGGGCCCGCCTCGCGGGGCGGGACGGCGAAGGCCGGGGGGGTTCTCCCCCGCCCGGCCGGGGCGGGCTCCAGCAGGTCCCGGCGCTTTCGGCGGCAGCTCTGGGAGGCCGCTGAGGGGGGGCGGCGGGGGTGGGCTTTGCTGGGGAGGGACTGGGGGTAGGCCTAGGGGCCGCTCACGGCACGGCTGGGTGGGCTTGTGCTCCGCTGTTTTGGAGACTGACTGCTTTTACTGCCCTACTGACTGGTTAAGTGTTAATTAATAAAAACAGGAATACGTTTGCACTTCAGGAGTCTAAACCTTTGTTTCTTCTTCTAGCTACCTTTATTTCCCCCTCTAAAATGAAAACAATAAAAGATGCATCACAAAATACCGTAAGTAGTTATGTTATAATGGGGGTATGTGGTTGTGGTGCTACCGTTAGAATTTGGGTATCCGTACTGGTTTTAAACTTGAGTAGTTACTGGGGTCTTGGTACATCTTTAAGATCTGCTTATGCTCCACGTAATCAATGACATTTGTGTTAGCTCAGTGAGCAGAGGATCTGTCCTTCAGTCTGGACTCTGATTCCTCGGGAAGTGTTTCCAATTTAAGATTGGTGGGAGGCAGGAACTTGGAACTGATTGTATTTGAAGCCACGTGTGAGCGGTGATGCCCTTCTAAGGGGGTAACTTCCTATCACTTGCCACAACATTTGTGTTCCAATGTTATTGTCAGTGCCTGTTGGTGTTTTGAGGTTGCCATGTGAATGTTTGCAGGTGAGAGCATTGCCTTCAGCCTGTGGAACTGCTTCTGCCTGTGGCCTGACAGTGATGGGAGTTTGCCCAATTTCTTATAAGGCTCTAAAACTCTGGAGGGTGAAGTTTCCATTATGCAAAGTGCAGTCTCATATCTGAGTTTTTATGTAGGGTGGTCAGTGCTTTGATCTTGTTTTGCATATTTATTTATTAATAGCTGTACATGGTTCCTAGTGGGTTTAGGATAAGTGTTATTTAAGGGTGAAAGTGTAAGTGGTCTGCAGCCTTTATATGGCTGGCTGAATTAACTGTGGATTAACTTCACTTCCATTGGAGGAAAACTAGAAAATTAAATACCAACACAATTATGTGGCATATGAGGGTGAGACAGTTGGTATTTTTTTTCAGTATTCAGACTGTTTGTAGCACACGTGCCAGATGAATACATTGTTCCTGTAATATCTCAAACTCACTATGTTACTCTTGTCTTTGGATTTAACTTGCTGCGGTACTCAGCAGAACCCAATACGGGACAGTGAAATACTGCAGCTGCATACAGCACTGCTGGTCATAAAAGTCTGGCAGTAGAGCACACTGGACGTGCTTTGGTTTCTTGCCAAATTAAACAGTTGTTATGCTCTTAGGAAGTACCAGCCTCTAGATAAGATATAATTTTCCTGGCCAGCATTAATTCTCCCACTATATGTGTAGGATTGCTGCTGATAAGCACCCAAAGGACAGTAAGAAAGGCTGTTCATAAGAATTGTTGCAGAGAGCTTGATGACAGATTTTGTGATGTGTTTCTACTAACCAGTTGCAATGTGTGTTTCTTTGGAGCATGGTCTTCTAAAGCACTGCAGCCCCTGTGTAGGTGGTAACTCCTCATTTATCCACAGTAGTTCTGTAGTTCACCAAACATGGAACAAGTATTTATTGAGGGCACAACAATATCGATAGGGATGTGTGGCAGCTAGATAGGCTGACCTGAGCTGAAAGTTTTAAAACCCATCTGTCCCAAAATCTGAACTGTTTTTATTGTAGTCTGTCTGACGTCAGAGGATACATCCAGGATAAAATTAATTCCAAATTCAGTGCTGAACTGGCAGAACTCTTTTGATGTGTCATCAACAGTGCCTGAATACACAAGCATGTAGATGTACTTTATTATACTGAAAGGAGAATAACCCTGAATTTAAGATTATTCTTTCTGACCTGTCTCCCTCCCACCCCAAAAGATATATAGAAAAAGCTTAGTAAGTATTTGTAATCAGTATAGAGTAGAGATAAAGGCTTTTTGCTAATGATTTAGTTAGCAAGGGGAGTGTTCCTCTTGAGCGTATTCAAATGGCATCTACTACTAGTAATGGAGATCGCTGTCAGAGAAATAAATAGTGATCTTGTAGTCATCCCAGGAGCAAGGAAGTCCCAGCTGCAGGTGCTTGATATAGGGAACGGTCCTTTAAGGACCATATGGAGGCTCTTCTCAGATCAGCTCCAGTCAAGGGCTCATGCTCTAGCCCCTACAGGGAAACTAAAGCCCAGTGCAACAGGTTTCGTTGGAGGGTTGGGTAAACGCAGAAGTTGTGGCAAAAGAATTGCTGTTTTGTGTGCTATGGTTGGTGAAACTGAGGATAGCTTGTTTTGAGTTTGAACAAGAAGTTGAAATTAGTGAGTACATTAAAAGTGAGGCAGCAGTTGAAGACAGCGAAGAGCAACAGTGATGAAATTACGATGGGGCATGTGAGGTGTAAAATCCAGAAGGCAATAGAAATAAAGCATAAGAGAGGAAACTAACTTAGGCAATCATTAGTGAAAAGTATGTTTCTGTACTTCATATTCAGCACAGATAAGTAATAAAAAATTTCTTATATACAGAGGTTTTGGGAAGGAGGGGAGAACTGTGTAGTATGCAAGGTCATTTTGCTTTTGGGTTAAATCTGTGAGTTCAGCTTACTGTTATTGTTAGGGCTAACACTAATATATGTTATTCAGCAGGTCTAAAAGGCCTGGGGCTGAGATCTTAAATGACAGTGTTAAGAGAAGTGCAAAGTTCCTTTGGCTGTCCATTCCCCATCCCCACCAGCTCTGCAGTCTCAGTTAAAGCTGTCACCTCCTATTGCAGCGTGCTGTTGTTCAGCAGCCACAAGTAGGTCACGTAGCACAGATGGCCTTGCTGCCAGGGAAGTGCGGAGTCTGCAGTCCCCTCTGAGGCTATTCCCTGTTCACTCTCTCTCCCTTTCACGCGGTTAGGTTGGAGACAGTGGAATGAATTCTGATGCTACCAACCATTTTATCTTTTGTTCACTGAGGCTGAAAGCATAAAGCAAAGCTGGTACAAATACCAGGAGTGAAAGTAATGATGGGATGGTTAGAAGGGAGGCTGGACTGGTGCTTTATGAAATAAGGCATCACTGTATTAGGGTGTTTCATGGGCTTGACATGTCTGCACCCAGACTGACAGGGGCCCTGATTCTTGTAGAGCTGCCATGCTTGAGCTCTAAGAGCAAAACAGGGGATGACATTGTCAGTATATGCAAGGTATTAATTTGTTCTTGTAGCATCATAGCACCCTCCGTTCTTCATGTATTTATTCATAGACTGTCCCTGGGAGGTACAGTTGTGCTGATGTGAGCTAATGTTATGTGTGCCATTTAAAATTTCTTCCTAAATATAATGGCTGAGGTCACACATTCGTTCTCCACCACCATACTGCCATATCCTCATTTATTTCCCCATTTACTGCCTCAACCGTCCTCTCTCGTTAGCATCTCTAGTAGCTGCAAAGCAAGAGCAGCTCACCAGAACAGTCTAGGTAAATACAGTGTGACATCTGCCCGCCCTGCTACCTGAGTGCTTTTATTTATGGCATCTCATTACTTTTTACATTTTCATTAAGTACCTTTAAATGCTTTTTTAATGCTGTCACACGAAATTATAAGCAGCATGCTGTCTCAGTCTGCAGTTAGGAAATTCGTACTGCTAGAAGTGAGGCAAGTCACAGATAGTGGCGACAGAGTAGCTGGAAAGAACAATTTCAGCTTATTGCTACCAGGAGACTCTAATGTTGTATATATTTACAATTGTTTTCTATAAGCACCTGAAAATACTTAAAAGGGTAGATTTAGATCACTGCAATTTTAAGCCAGAGAAGCTTTATTATGATTTTTATGCGTGTGTTGAGGAACAAATTATAATTTGTTCAGTTCTTTAACCTAGGTTACAAGAAAAGGATTCAGGAGCAGTGACCTGCTAGTCCTACTTTCCTGCTCTTTGGATGCTTAAGACTAACAATGTAATTGAATTTTTTTTTTTTTTTTTTTTTTTTAAGCACTGAATAGAGAACGAGTGTCCAGTACAAGACCAGACGTGTGGTTACAGCTTTAGTCAGTAGAGGGAGTATGGACACCTGTATTAGAAGCCACATAGGGTCACCCGTGACAGCTGAGAGAACAGAGTTTCTCCTAGAATTCCTCTTTTGTCTGCAAAAAAAGGTAAATTCTTTAAGTATACATTTTCCTAGGTGCCAAAATGCAGCTGTTGGCTACTAACACTTTTGATAAATCTGAAAGTGTAGGAGAGGGGAATGATCCTTTGTGCTTGCTGTGCTTTTCTCCTTGCAGCAGTCGCCCTGTGAGCTGTCGGCTGCTTGCACCTGCAGCTTGGGGCTGGTGTGGAGCAGTACCTTTTCTCCTCCATGTCAGGATCTTGTGTCATCTTTAGTGACTGCAGAAGGGTTCTGTTTGCACAAACGCCTGCCTCCATGGAGGACACTGACTCCCTCTTTTCACTGAGGAAGCTGAAAAAGCAATTGTGTGCGTTACTTCTGTTGCCAAATGTAGATGTTGCAAAGAGCATCCTGCAGCAGTGAATGCCTTGCTGGGACTCCCTTGCGTAAGAGGAAGGATCTTGATGAATAAGAAAGAACCTGATGGCTCTCTGAGCTTTCTGCTTGAAGAGTCAGCCCCGAGCTGGTGCAAAACCACAGGAGTGGTTTGAGGGCTATGTCAGCTATGCTCTGATGGATGGTACCATCCAATAGTTTGAAATGGAGGTAGACAGTCATCCATTCTTTTACCAGTGTGCCACTTAGTTTGTGTTTTCAGATGTAACACTTGGTCTCCATGGCCTCCATTTCCCATAATAAAGGGAATGTGGACTGGCTTGATTGATGTTTATGAGAAACTTCAAAAGAAATTTGCAATGAAGTTGATACAAAGTGGATTTTATTCTTTTAATAGTTACA